TTTTTTTTACGCCTTAGGATTCAGGTTAGGGTTAGATTAAGAATAATAAGATTAGCATTAAAAATTAGGGCAAGGCTTAAGATTAGGATTAGTCATTAGGATTAAGTTGAGGTTGGAAACAACATGGAAATTGACCTAGAAAATCTTTAAAAGGATAGCACTAATATATTGATTATTTTTAACAGGTCATTCCAAAGCAGCAAGAAATCAAATAACACTGCAACCTCAAGCAAGCAAGCAAGAATATAATATCCAATTTCTTCATTAAACCCAATGATAAAAACTCCAAGAATGATAAAAACTCAAGATCTAAAGAAGGAAAGAGCATCACTGAAAAAAGCTTCACTTCTCCAATCCGTCCAGACGAAATGAGATTCCAGGTAGAAACTATTCTAAGGGGTTCTGACCAGTAAGTTAATGTTCTAGCAAATTAGCAAACCATAGCAAATTTTGATAGTACTTCTCTAACACGTTTTATTGTTTTCAATGTTTAGAGAGCACAGCGAGATTAAACAATCTTCAGCTCATGATGCGCCAGATGAAGAACAACACGGTATGATATTAGATCAATGGAGGGCTGGAGGCTTAACATTTGGAATCAGACTTCGTAGAACTTCAGGACGAGGTATTTTGTACTCGATGCCCATGCAAGGTGGAAGATCTACTCGTACATTTCGTCTCATTTTGAGGAAAAAGAAAACGTGATGTCTTCCAAGCGTACCTTGCGTGAAGACAAATCTGGTTATCTGCCGTATCTGTCAAGACGTAGACAAAACTGAGAACCTCAAGACGTTATGTCAATGTACTGGCAGTATAGCCAAGTATCATGTAAGCTGTTTGGAAAAGTGGCTGAGTGTATCCAAGACTGACATCTGTGAATTGTGTCACTAACATTTTACGACCAAACGAAAGCCAAGGCCTTTTTCTGAGGTATGTAATACTGTACATTTAAACTAGATTAGTAAAGATTCTCCTCGTTTCATAAAAATAGGTACATTATGCGTACGCACTATGACATCACAATTTCAAGACTGAACAATCACAGACAAAACATTGTCTATCTTCACATTACACTTTCATTACTATTTCACATTACATTGAACTTAGACATTGTACTTTATTATCAAGTACATTAATTAGTTATAATGATATATATTAAAGGTAAGTTTTTATAGATTATATTTACTCGAACTGTTTCATTTGGGCAGTTTTAAATTCGATACTTAGTTCGCATTTTGTTTTCGCAGTTGATGGAAGGATTGTTTAAAAAGTTAAATTGTTTCCTGTTACGAAGATAAAGACAAATTATTTAAATCATTAAATTGCACCCTCTGCTTATACGCCATACTTAACCATCAATCTAGCACGGGTTTCCGCCCCTTCTTTCTCACCTTCATTCTCCCACGTTCAATTTTAGAATTTTGCAGCACACAGCGGTCATAGAAATTCATAATGGCTACCAGTTTGCCATGACTGGAAAGATGTGCGAAGACTGAACAGTCATAGACAAAACATTGTCTATCCCCACATTAAACTTTCGTATTTGGCCAAAGCATCAGACAAGCTTTATTCATGTTTGGCTAGCTCATACAGTGTCTTTTCGTGTTTTTTTGAAATCCAAAAATTCTCAATATTTGTCACAAAAAATAAGCTCCGAAAAATAATACCAAGGCAATAGATTTCCGAGTTATCCATATTCAGATCAAACTTAGTCGCATTTCAATCGCCCGTAAGGAACCATATGGACCTTTCATGTTGCGTGAATGATTGGCAATTCGTGTTATTTTTGATTTTCCAGTTTTTCGTTTTTCCAATTTTGGGAAAACCGAAAAATCGGTTTTGAAGAAAAACCGATATTTATCGGCTTACCTATAAACCACCGCCCAGCTTATTTTTCTGTCTTATTCTAACGCCGCTGGTTTTGGCAGGCGCAGCAATGTGTTTTGAAGGTTCCCGGTACTACTTTTCTATTGGTCAGCTGATGATCGCCACCGGGCTGATCACACTCTTTGCTTTCCTCGTGTTTCTTTATGTCCTGTGGTTTGTACTCAGTGTACGATATCACCTGCATCGCTGACATCAATGGCGAAAAGAGAATCGGGTTGTTGAAGGCATTGTTCCTGATACGAAATATAAGTCTAAAGGGAAAACATAAACAGCAACAAAAACAACAAGAAACTGTCGTGTGAATTACATATAAAGTGAATTTGTTTACATTACAATGTTGAAAAAGCCAAGTGCTTCTCACAGACACTTCTTGTTTTAATACCTTTTCCTTGACCAAACACGTCACGTTCTTGAAGTTGTGTATTCATAAACGGACATGTTTGCGTTTGCAATGCTGGTTAGGCGTGGAATTAGACTGTTTTAAGTGCGTGTTTGCTCGCGGGATAACTGGCTTTACCCCAGCACTCTTATCATACCATGTGGGAAAATAACAACTTTCGTTTTAATGGAGTCTCTTAACCCCACTTCCTTGCATTTGCGTTTAACCTCAACACTATAGCTGGAGCTACCTTTTTTCCACAGAATTGTCCTAGGGCTAGGAATATAGTTACAGAAATAATAATCTACTCAAACCTTAAAAGCAAACACAGAAGCCCTATATACATACGTATGGGCACAGAATAGGAAGTTATACCAGAAGCGTAACTCTAGTCGTTTCCCTTATTGTTTGACGTCCACGAAAATTTTAACTCGCTCACGTCAGGCCACGCCATCCTGGCTAGTACAGCCGGAAGTTTTTATCAGG